GAGACGGCCCAGTGCCTTCCAGGTTTTATACAGGTGCATCCTTACAATCTTGTTTCGAAAAATCAAAAACCGGAGCACCCTGAAAGCCAACAGCCAAATAAATACCTGACAAATGTGAACGTCTGATCTGGTTTTGGAAGATCTGGAATGGAGCATGCAATCGTAATTCGCTGAATGGTGCTTCATTTTGACGTTTGGCAAACGTCTGCAAACATTCGCTGAACATTCTGGACAACGTTCAGTTGCATTTAAAGATTTATTGTCATTTCACTAAAACAGTGAAACTAAATTAAGAATGCAACTCTATGGGACCAGTTAAAACATTCAAAGAAATTGGGTCATTAAAAGGGACGTTGTCTGAATATTCCTTGCCAGCTGAGCCCAAAATCACAAATTCGGTTCAAATGATTACTCCAAATTCCCCCTGCATGGATGGATGGATGGACGGATGGATGGATGGTTAAAAAGTAGGGGCGCACAGTGGAGCATTTCTTCATGACACAAACGTTTTGCTCCATGTGCATGTTTGGGTTCCTCCTGGAGACAGGCTTCCCCCACAAGATCCAAAATCTCAAATGATTCAATTGATTACTCTAAATTGTCCCAAATGGATCGATGGTTGGCTAAAAAGTAGGGCTGCATGGTGGGGTCTTTCTGCCTTAGATATGCATTTTGTCTGCTGTGCATGCGCGGGTTCACTCTGGGTGCTCCGGCTTCCCCCGCAACCCAGCTAGCAAGCGAATGTTCAGACGACGTTCAATGAACGTTGAATCAGGAGTTCAGGAATTGAGGTTCCCCGAATGATGATCCAACATTTACCCACTGTGGGAAAGAAAATGTTTTTAATCAGCTTTTATATTGTATAATTCTTTATGGCTGTTTTTTTTTTTATCAATTCTTTATGTGTTTGTCTTGTTATAAATTGTGTGGTCTTCTGACATTCTCACAATGTCTGTTGGACACTGTTACTACTACTTCCCTTCAGGGTTGGACAATATGACCTAAAATAAGTATTATTTGATATATTGAGCAGTCTACCTCTATAACAATAAATGGATGTTAATAGTGCTAATGTGGCATTAAGGAGTTTTGGGGGGCATTGCCCACCCATTGCTCAAAAAAGCTGTTTTTTTGGGGGACTGTATGTTGTTTTTATGACGTTTTATTTTTATGTTTTTATGATGTAAGAAACTTTAAACTGCCTTGTTGCTAAAATGTGCTATAAAAATAAACTTGACTGAATGATTTTACCTAGAAATGGCTAACTTCCTATTATTCCTATACTGATTTGTTACAATAGGAGCTTCTGCACTTCCTGTATCCTTGTTCTCTGTCTCTTGCCTTTTTTTCCGCCGTTAAAACTGTTTAACCTATTAACATGTTGTAATGGGTTTTTCCGAGCTGCCTTTAAACGCAACATGAGTGAAGATGCTCCCACAGGTTTTACAGCTGTGAGGCAGACATGTTGCTGCACGCCATGTGTGTTAGAGTCATAGCAGCAAACTAGCAAAAGGCAAAGAACTTTGTAAGGAAGTTGAGTTACGCTGTTTGATGCAGATAAATAAAAATAAACGTAAAGGTAATTTTATTTTTATAGCACATTTTCAGCAACAAGGCAATACAAAGTACTTAAACATGAAAATGTTAACTAAATGGTTACATCCATGCCAACATGGTTTCCCCCTTGTGTTTTATAAGCCTGGCGGGCCACCAGGCTTTATTTGCACCCCATCAGGCTAAGCATTGTTAGTTTATTTATTATAGGTTTTTTATATGCCAGCAACAGTGATAGCAAAGTCGAGTTGAAGATCTCTTTGTCATGATCCTGGTTTTTCTCTGAGTTTTTTGTTAATTTCCTCCACCTCTGGTGTTAATTGTTATCCTTTATTGCTGCAGCTGTTTTGGTTTCTTGATTATCTCCCCTTGTGTATTTAAATTCATCTGTGTTTCTTTGTTTTCGTGGGATCCTTCTGTCACGAGACACCATTGGTAGGATGAGGAAGACCAGGTAAGTCAAAAAGGTTCTTCTTTAATGAAAGCAGAACTGTGAGCACCACCATATGCGAGAGTTCTGGTTTCATTGAAGCAGAACCTTTTTGACTTACCTGGTTGTCTATCTGCTCGTCCTACCAATGGCGTCTCGTGACACTCTTTAGTGAAACATAGTATTGTCAGCATGTGAACACAAGCTAACAACTTCATAGAACAAAGTGAAAATTCACAGACGAAGAATGAAAACATCTAAAAAAGTGTTTCACATAAAAACATGGTAGGACGCTGGACAATTTTCTGTTTTTTATGTTGGTAGTTGTGGTTACATTTACTTGACTAATGTTTTTGGGGAGGGAAAGTACGCATAAGACTTTTACTGAATTGTACTCTTTACTTTTACTTGAATAATATTATGAACCATTGCTACTCTTACTTTAGTAGATTTTTTTTTGCATTGAAAAAAACCGACTTCAAAGATCTTATAGATTTCTCCAATCCATGAGCTAATATTTATGTTAATCTTAGCTACTCAATATTTTCTACATATCACTTTTTACATCATTATTGTTTATATTGTATTAATTAACATGGGCATTTTATTTGAAAGGTTACAAGTAAAACCTTTCAAAATACATAACCGTTTGCTTATGTCCTCTGGAGCAGTGTCTGGCTAACACTACTTTTACAAGTTTATAAGTAAAAACAACTTAACTTCCATTGTCCTTGCTGAATCCAAAATGATTCAACAAGCCAAACAACTGATGACGATGAACTTCTCCTTTTCCTCCTGGACCGATCTCATGTTGTCGCTTATTAACTTAAGCCACGCCCCCTGTCCATTTACTCTTCAAAAATAAAAATTCACGTCATGTTTCATCATAATCTCGTATCGCTCCTTTTCTCGGGCGACGAAATGTCCAGGTTTTAATTGTTCCTCACAGGAGTCATTGGTTAAACAGACTTGCCGTTTGGTAAAGTCGTTTCTTTCACTTCCTGTTACAGACTGGAAAGGGTCACGTGACTACAGTCTGTACACGTAACGCAGCGTCTTAAAGGGACATGAACATAGCCAAATGTTACTCAGCACGGACAAAAATGACGTTTCTTTTCTTTCTTTTATTTTATTAAAAAAAACACTGAAAATATGGCTAATGTCCGGGCCCTTTATACCCAAATAATAAAGCTCGTGATAATTTAACTTTACAGCACAGACATGTCCGCAACAGCGGAGCTTACAAGTTTCATCACCACAGAGAGCGACTATGTCATTTTGAAATCCATCTGACATGAAGTACAACAAACCAAGAGAAACAACAGAAACATCAAGCTACTGGTCACTAATGATGAAACAACACACATTCAAATCAGTTCAGAACCACGGATAGGATCGGATCATTTTGACACTTTATCCATTTCAACTCAGAGCCTGAAGCAGCTAGCAACTGCTGAAGCTAGGTTTATTGTTCTCTTTATCTTTACTTTAATTTCTTTTTATTTCTCTTTCTCACTGTTTATGTTTTTATCTTTTTTCTAAATCTCTCTCTTTCTCATTGTTTATTCAATGTCACATGCTGTTTTTATTTTAATTATGTAAAGCACTTTGAAATGCCTTGCTGCTGAAATGTGCTATACAAATGAAATTTGATTGATTGACTGATTGATTGTTGAAGCGTTAAAACGAGCACGCAGCAGCGCGCGTTGAAGCGGGTACGCAGCGGCACGCGCCGCATGCGCAGTGTGTCACAGCAGCTCGTGCGCCTCTGGATGTTTGTAACTCGGCGCGGATCGCGCGCGCCACCGTTCACACAAACTGGACGATCTGGAAGATGGTCTTCCAGGCGGCTACAGTGTAAACCTCAGCTATAAACGCCATACTGCGGTCTTCGCTTAAAAACACGCTCAACCCGAACTGTCAAAGCGCGTCTATAACTGAGCCTTCAGTCCCTGACATCACCGCTGTACCACCGACAGAGAGAAATGGGGATGTAAGCTCGGCGACTGGGCTGATACAGTTCACAGTCAGTCTACAGATAACTCACGCTTTGTGAATCATGTCAGACTTGTTACCTGTAACTAGTCCTGCTCCTTTGCTGGGCTGGTAGTTTTGGTGGGTCTGAATCGCTGCCAACAAAAAAAACTCCGATTCATCTCCAAGACGAGGAACAAAATATGCGTCCAGTTTTTGTCTTTTCCTTCCTCTTTCTTCCATCCTTTTCTCTTTGCCGCTCCATTCATGTTAACTTAGTCCATAAGAATGCTCTAGCTAGTTTGCCATCTGTTGCCAAGAGACTGATGATGACGTCCCTGCTGCAATTTCACAAATACCATACTCAACGGGACAGGGCCCGTCTTCGCCAGCTCTCAAAACACGTGATAAAAACTTTAATTCCTGACGTCATATTTTGCCTCCCATCCGGGCCCCCTCTAGGCCCGGCCAGGGGCCCTCCACCCCCAGACTCCCCCCCCTTTGTAGCTCCGCCCCTGTTTCAAAGTGTAATAATTACACAAGAATCTAGACCAAAAGTATTTGGTCTAGATTCCAGATTGTTTTTGCAGTGAAGGAAATGTCTTAAAATACACAGAATCTTACCAAGTGTTTTGGTCTAGTTTCTGAAATATTGTAATACTTGAAATAAGACTTGCAAACAACTTTTCAGCAAGATATAGGCACATTGATTTAAGTCAATCATATTGATTAAAAAGTACTAGTTCCAATGACATGGGAAAGACATTTTTATCATGTTATAAGTGAAATAATCTAGGAAATAGTATGTTTCCTTCTGTTTTAAAGAATTATTTACTTACTTACTTATCAGTTTTGTCTTATTTCAAATGTAAGATATTTGAAGCTACTAGACCAAAAATACTGTGTTTTGAAGTGAGAAGGGGATTTTGTTCAGCCTAGAAATGAACAATACCGTCCAGATGAATGTGCGCTGTGCTAAAGGTGAGTCACGTGGTTCAGTGCAAAAACAGCCGCTCTGCTACAAAAACCCCTCAGAGAGACGCAGGGTTCAGTCTGGGCTGCAGGCAGTGGAGAGCGCCATGGAGTTTTCCGCAACATTTCTCCTGTCGGTGCTGATCGTAGCTCTTCTCTGGTTCTTTTCTGGTAAAAACACCCAGAAGTACCGTTTGCCTCCTGGACCCAGTCCGCTGCCTCTCATAGGAAATCTGCTGCAGCTGAAAAAGGCAGCGCCGTTTAAAAGCTTCCTGGAGGTGAGTTTGTGATTAAAAGGAATCTGCAGTGTGCGCACAGGGCTTGTTTATTCCACAGTTACAACAACAACAACAACATAAAAATGTTAATGTATTCTGTTGGGAGTTTAATCTACTGGACTAGCGTCCTATAATCAGAGTTGGGACATTCCCATATGTTTCCGGAGAAAATGCAATGCGAAAACCACGCAAATATATTTACAAACAGCGCACAAACTGCAGCAGTTAGATAAAAAAAAAAAAATTGGACACATTGCACCTAACAGCAACATAAAAATGTAAATAATATGCAGGAAAAGAGACAAAAGATCATATTCTAGGTAGAAAAGAGATTAATATTGGAGGAATTTGGAACACAAGTAACATTTAATTTAATTTTATAAGTATTTCACAAGGAAATTCAAATTATAAAATTATCCACATTTTAATTAGTTTTTTAGAAACTCTACCATATCAATAGGTGGCTGGCGGTAATATCGTTTCTCCCCAAACGCCAATATAAATCAAGAAAAAGAAGAACTGCAACAGTTCGAGCATTGAACATAGTTTATTCTGTGTTTGGAGTCATTTTTTAAAATATATTTGTAGATAAACAACACAAGAATGACTTCAGTGAACTGCTGAATCATGTTGCGTACATATTTATTAATACCCTGGTAAAATACACACTTATTTTGTCATATAATGTTATTTTAACCAAAAACAGTTTCATTTGAATATTTGAATCTACAAATTTCAATTTTACAATAGTTGTCCAGCTACAAGCACAATAAACTGTTTTATATAGTCAGTAGAAAACGTCAGAAATGTGGGATTAAGATACATGTTACACACTTCAAAAATACAAAAAGCATTCTGAGAAAAAATAAATACATTTCAAGAGTAGAAGTTACGCTGGAGAACCAGCGTCAAGTTAATAAGAGTCAAACCAAAAGTCAAAATAAGAATGTATAATTAATATTTCGTTTTTCATTCAGTTCAGTAAAACCTATGGTCCTGTGATGACCTTTAACCTGGGCTGGCAGCGGGTCGTTGTTCTGGTCGGATACGACACGGTGAAGGAAGCTTTGGTGGACCAAGCAGACGACTTCACAGGCAGAGCGCCGATGCCGTTTCTGTACAGAGCCACCAGAGGATACGGTAACTTCTTCAAAAATAATCTGAAATTGCATGTAAAGGCTCTGGTAGCATTTTGCGCGACTTTTCAGCTGAACATTTCTGTTTGGCAGGTATTGGGATCAGTAACGGTGAGCGCTGGCGTCAGCTGCGGCGCTTCACTCTGTCGACTCTACGAGACTTTGGGATGGGACGGAAAGGGATGGAGGAATGGATCCAGGAGGAGAGCAAACACCTGAGGGCGCGCATGCGCACCTATAAAGGTCTTTATTGATCACATTAGTTAAATAAATTATCTAGAGAACGGAAATGTCACCAGAAATATCTGCAAAAACACAAAATCTTTCCAAACACCAAGTATCTTAGTACACTTGAAATACGTTACAAATAACTTTTTAACAAGATATAGGAGCTTGTTTCAAGTTAATAATTCCCTAATATTGATGAAAAAGTTCTAGTTCCACTGGAAGAATGTTCCACTGCGCCGTTACCTAGCAACCCCAGTCAAGCTCAGACCGTTACCTAGCAACCCAGTTCTATTTCCACTGACAGATTTATAACATGGAAAAATGCCTTCTTATATGTGAAATAATCTATCAGTGGAACAACATAATCCCAAGATTAAAAGTCAGAAATGAAAAAAAAAAAAAAAAAAAATCCATTTAAAATTAAAAATCTTTTCTGAGATTCTGAGAACACATTTTGAATTCTGATATTAAAAGTCAGCATTCTGAGAAAAAAATGCATAAATTAAATCAGTGAAATTAAATCTGAGAAAAATATTGTAATTGTGGGATTAAACATTAGAATTCTGAGAAAACAGTAATAATTCTGAAATTAAGTCTTATTTTGAGGAAAAAGTCAGAACTGTGGGGTTGAACTTCATAATTCTGAGGAAAAATTTTTAATTCTGAGACTAAAAGTTTAAAATCTCAGATTAAATGTCAGAATTCTGAGGAAAAAAGTCAACAGTTTGGGATTAAAGTTTGAAATCTGAGGAAAAACTGTCAGAATTTTTACTTTTTCCAGTTACCTAAAATTTTCTGTCACTGCAAAATAAAACAACTTTTAAAAACCCTGATAAAACTGGTTACAGAAAGGAATGTTGGAAATCATTTTAAGCAAAAAAAAAAAATAAAAAAATATTTGGCTATGTTTTTATGTTCACCTCCAGGTGAACCTTTTGACCCAACCATCTTGCTGAGCCGCACCGTGTCCAACGTGGTCTGCTGCCTGGTGTTTGGACAGCGCTTCAGCTACGAAGACAAGCACTTTGTGAATCTACTGGCTGTCATAGCTATGATCGTCAGGTTCAACAGCAGCCCTAAGGGCATGGTGAGAGCAGGCGCCTCCATAAAGGCGCCATTTAACTCATGATAGTCTGGATTAAGTGTTAGAATTCTAAGAAAAACGTCAGAGTTTTGGGATTAAAACCCAGATAATAAATATTCAGAAATTTGGGATTCAATTCTGAATTTTGAAGGAAAAGTCATAATTCCATCATTAAAAGTCAGCAATCTGATGAAAAAAAGTCAGAATATTGTGATTAAAAGGCAGAATTATGAGAATAAATATTTAGACGAATCCCTTTGATCCTCTCTAATCCCATGATTCACACTTTTTTCTCTGAATGCTGACATTTAATCCCAGAATTTAGAGAAAAATGTTGAAATTCTGGGATTAATGTCAGAATCTTGAAGGAATTTGTGAATTTTGAGATAAAATCTCAATTATCAGAAAAAAGTTTAATTTCGAGGTTAACAGTCAGCATTGTGAGAAAAATAATCTGAATTGCAGTGTTTATCTTCAGAATTATAAGAAAAAGGTCAGAACTTTGAGATTAAAATCTGACATCTGAGAAAAAAGTTCAAACTTTGAAATACAAAATCAGCAATTTTGGGTTTAAAAGTCAGAGTTATGGGATTATATGGGATTAAATTCTGAATTTTGAAGGAAAAGTCATAATTCCATTATTAAAAGTCTGCAATCTGATGAAAAAAAGATTGCTGACTTTTTTCACCAATCTTTTTTCATTTTCTATAGTTATAATTTTAACTATAGAGAAGTTAAAATTATGAGATTTAAATGTCTGAATTCAGAGAAAAAAAGTTTGATTTCTGAGATTAAAATTCAGCATTCTGCTACTGAAAGTCAAAATCCTGTCCACTTACCACAACCACAGCATAAAGACTCTTTTACACTCATTTTATAATCTAAAGAATCAAGTACTAACTTTATTCTGTTAAACTTTCCCATTTATGATGAGTTGTGGATTAAATCTGCTGCGTTTCCCCCTCAGATGTACAACATCTTCCCGTGGCTCATGGAGCGACTTCCTGGCAAGCAGCACGCCATTTTTGGAAAGATCGAGGAGATCCGAGACTTTGTCAAGACGAAGATCCAAGAACACAGAGACAGTCTGGATCCCAGCTCTCCCAGAGACTTCATCGACTGCTTCCTCATCCGGGTTCATGAGGTCGGGAAGACGAGGAAGATTTCCTGTTTCTATAAACCAAATCAACCAAAAGCTACATGGAACATTTACTTCTGGTGTTTATTTCCTTCCAAACGTCGTTGTGTATTAAACCTGACTAGAAATATTACCACTCTTATCATATTATCTCGACTTTATTAGCCTTGTAATATTACTAATTTATTCTCAAATTACAGAATTTATTCTGAAAATATTTTGTCTTTATTCTCAAACAACTTTGTGCTTGTAATTTATTCTTATGCTCTTATGACTATAGTCATACAACTATTCTCAAAATAGTGATACAATTTTTATATTATGACTTTGTCCTAAATTTTTACTTTATTCTCATATTGTTTTGACTTTATTCTTTTATGACTTTATTTTTGTAGAATTATTACTTTTTTCTTGTATCCTAACCCTAAAGTCATAATTTGAAGGATGGAATGAGTTTTAACACACACTAATCACCTTGTAGTCTCAAGAAAACTATCAGGAAATTAATTCATCTTGAGAAAACTGTTAAAATAGGCAGTTACAAGTGTTTTCATAGGGCTCTCCAGTATTGGTGGGTTTTGGCCATTTGCTGCTAAAAGCTCATTTTTTGTGTAAAAAGCATCTTTGTTCTGTCGTCACAGCTTCTTTTAAGTTCCTCCAAGGTTCAGACGATAACATTCAGGATCTTCTGTTCTCTCCAGGAAAAGGAAAATCCCTCCACTGAGTTCCACTACGACAACTTGGTGGCTACCGTGATGAATTTGTTCCTGGCGGGAACAGAAACCACCAGCTCCACCATCAGACACGCGCTGAGTGTGCTGATCAAACACAGAAACATTCAGGGTAAACAGAGACTTTACTAACAAAATATTACAACTTTATTATCAGAAATTTAATATCAAAATATCAGGACTTTATTATTGATTGTTTTGACTTTATAATCAACATATTATCATTTTATTGAAATATTAGGAGCTTGTAGAAAGTGAATAATTCCTTAATACTGATGAAAAAGTATTACTGGCAGATTATTTGACTTATACTAACATTTTTTCCATGTTATGAGTGAAATAATCTGGCAGTGGAACTAGAATTTGGTTGCTAGGAGACGGACCAGGTTTTGCTTGGGTTGCTAGGTAATGGCAAAGTTCCCGTTCTTAGCAAAACTTCTTCATCGATACTGAGGAATTATGGACTTATAAACAAGCTCCTATTTTCCTGAAAAGTTACTTACAAGTTAGTTTTCTCTAATTTCAAGTGTACTAAGACATTTCCACTAGAAACTAGACCAAAAATACTTGGTAATCTCTGTGTTTTTGACAGTGTGGTGGCTACTCTTTCGTCTTCTCCAGAAAAAATGCAGGAGGAGATTGACTCTGTGATTGGACGGGAACGGTGCCCCAACATGGAGGATCGGAAATCCCTGCCGTTTTCGGACGCCGTCATTCATGAAATTCAGCGTTTTCTGGACATCGTCCCCCTCAGTCTCCCTCACTACGCGCTGCAGGACGTCTCATTCAGGGGTTACACCATCCCAAAGGTGAGCCACAGTTAAGCAGTTAGTTCTGATCATTGGTTCTCAAAGGTGAGCCAGCAAGGACTATAAACAGGAAAATTTCTTAAGACCAATTTACTATTGAAATTTCCCATTAACATTGATTTATTGAAATGGCTACCAATTCAAGTTATGGGCTGTTTAAATTATAACTTGTTAAGATGCTTTATTTTTAAGCCTTTTTTAATTTTGGCGTATTCTGGATGACCAAGAACAAATAAGTAGATAGAAATGAATATCTGGGAAGTATCATAACTTAGACTTAACACTTAAAGCACCAATGTTTATGTAGAAAAATATTCAGATGTTATTTTGTGGTTTTAAACGCTCCATATTGAAGACAATCAGAAATAAAAGCATAACTTTCTTTCTTTTTCTGTTCTCTCTTCTGTTCTCGGCTTCCACACAGAGCTGGTCCACTTGCTCAGCCCCTCCCTCCCTTTTCAAACTCTTCTAATTAACTAAAAGTTAAAGAGCTAAATATGAATGAGATGTTTGCTACCTTTGACAAAAAAGCTTAAGTCTATGAAAGCAGTGTAGCAGTTTAGCTAATGAGGTAGCTCATCATGATTCAGCCAAAGTAAGAAATTAACGAACTGCAGTTGTTGATTGATGTGTTTCTTCTTATTGAGCAGGGAAGGTAAATAAAATGTTTACTTGTCTTTTGCATTAAGAATTTACTTACCGGAAGGTTGTTTGTTAATGCTGCAGAGCCACAGCTAACAGCTAGTAGCCAGCTACTCACTTCTGAGACTGTACTGTGTGTTGCTCCTCCTACTCTGGACTGAACCATTGTTCTAATAACGGTAGGGGAGGCCTAACAAGTAATTCTTATTTTTTTTCTGAGAAAAATGGCAGATTTAGTTCATTCTTTGTTTCTTCTGCCTTTTCATGTTGATATTATTGAAATGCAAATGTTTCTTGAAGGATTTTTTTTGGGGGGAGGGGGGGGGGGATTCTAGACTTTTCCAATATTGGGAGGGAGTCCAGACCTCAGACCCCCCGGGATTTGCGCCTATGAGTGTGGTGCTAATAATGCAGAGGTCAACGGTTCATTTCCCTAACTGGCCAATTCAAATCTAAGAACATCAACACATATAAAAGGCTGAAAAATCTAATATTATGCATGTTGATTTTGAAAAATATTAGAATAAAAACATTTTAATCAAATGAATTGTGTTAAAATTATGTACATTATTTAATCCATGGAAACTCATCATTATCTTCAACGCTCAGAGTGTGGTACTAATAATCCTGAGATCATGGGTCAAACGTGATAACCACTACACTACAGAAACTGAAGTTCCCTTTGTTTCAGTTTGAGGT